CAGTTAGAGAAGGCAGCACAGCTGAGTTAAGGAGACAAAGTTAACACAGAGGTCAGAGGTGGTGGTGATGTTGGGGAAGGGACATTTGCATCAAGTGACAATATCAAAAGAGCTGTGTACAGGTATGTTTGAGGGTTGGTGTTTACAATTCCCTACCACCATCAGTGGGGCCATTGAATCAAATTCGTGGAGGCCAGATGGGGATATAGCTCAGTGGACACAGTGCCTGCCTGGCAAGTACAAGACCAAGAGTTCGACCGGAAAAAAAAAAAAAAAAAAAAAAAAAAAAACAGGGCTCCATTGAATCAAAACTCACCACTTCCACCAGTGCCCCATACTTCACAGGCACAAAGAGAAAAGCAGATCTCAGGACCAAAATACTAAAACCAGCCTACCCTGTACTGATTATGTGTTTCTCTCAATTATTTTTAAATTTTTACCAAATAATCCGGGATCAAAATTCTCTATGTAGGGCTGGGGATTTAGCTCAGGGGCATAAGTGCCTGCCTGGCAAGTGCTAGGTCATGAGTTTGATCCTCGGAACAAAAAAACAAAACAAACAAACAAAAAAACAGCATAAAACTAATGTACTTTTACAATTATGCAGAGGAGGACATGTTACCAAAAAAAAAAAATATATAATATGTAAGAAAACATTTCGGCCTGACAGCTATTTACTCTGCAGCTCTTTGTCTTATTCATAAAAAACTAGTCATATAAACAACCTGATGTTTTCAGGACTTTACCAAATTATTCAGCATATTTCAGTATCTCCATTTCTTAAGTGCCTTATAATTATTGCTTGATTTATTAGAGGACAGTGGTTGAATCAAGAACAAGAACTGATATTTCTGTACCAGGAAGAGGTGATTCCTATTAAAGCATATGTCATGAAAAGCTTAAGAAAGTACACAAGACCTCCCTGTTCACTTAACTCTGAACTTTTATTTGTGGAACCATGCTGAGGTCTTTTTATAACCTAACAAAGACGTAATTTCCAAGTTAGTGTTCGGATTGGCGAATAACCCAGATACATTCTGTTCTATTTGCGAACACACGTGATTTTGGCATTTCAGAGTTTTCAGAAACAGAAACGTGTCAAGAATTCACAGATGTGGACCCTGCAACACATGCCTGTAACCCCGGTTAGTCAGGGGCCTGAGGCGATAGTCCTGGGAGATCAGGACCAGCCTGGACAGTTCAGCAAGATTTTGTCCTGAAAAATGTAAAGGCTCCGTGACAGAGCCCTGGGTTTCATTCCTGGTACTGTGCTCCCAACCCCAAAGAAGTTAAGAGCTGAATCTAGTTATACTGCACAGCTTATCACTAACACAGGTGGGGGAAAGAAAGATAGTTTCTCTTGCTTTCTCCATTTAGAGGATATACATATACACATGAGAATGTAAGCAACACATTAGCGTGTATGTGATGTAGCCTAAAAAACAATTATCACAGTAAATTAGAAAAAAAGGTAAAAACATAAATATCATTCAAAGATAGCAAGAAAGAAGACCACAGAAACATTGTATTGTAATCCTATCAATTTTATGTTTTAAATCTAGCTCTACTGTGATCAGTTATAGTGAGCAATTACTTTATTAACTAAAATAACTCAGAATTAAGTAGAGATGAGAGACATAACTCTTAAATACTCTTAATCTCACGTTTGTGTTCATGAATGTAACATACGTGTATCTTATCAGTTTTCCAAGGAATTTATACATTTATCTGTTCTTTTTAAAATTAACCAGTCAAACATAGGGCAGCATTTATTTATTTATTGAGAAAGGGTCTCACCATGTAGTTCAAGCTGGCCTTGAACTCACTATAAAGACAGGCTGGCTTCAAACACAGCGATCCTTCTGCCCACTGTTCCCTTCCCCCCTGCAATATGGTGTGTGCCACCACAAATAGTTTAATTTTTTTTTATTTTAATAAAATGTAGTATATATATATGTATATATACACACAATTTTTTGGTATTTTTGAGAAAAGGTCTCACTCTGTGGCCTGGTCTAACCTCAAACTCCTGGGTGCTGGGATTGTAGGTGTACACAATCGTGCCTGGCTACAAGTACATTCTTTACGCAGTAAAAGACCCAGATTTATTTAGAGGTTTGAAATAAAGCGTGTACCACAAAATTCAGAAAGCGCTGTAACGATCTTGGCTCCGTGAGAACAGGCGCAAACAGGGTCTGGCAGAGACAGCTGAACCGGGCACTGACCTCCTGCTGGTAGCCTAAGATCCGAACAATGCCCTGCTCCAGATCCTTTTCTCGCTGCAAGTACAGTGCTTATTAAATGGCCCATTTCTAGGCAAAGTCCGCCTGGGTTGCTGGCCTTGGTGCTTTTCCCTCCGAGACTTCTGTTTCTGCAACACTTTTCTTTTTCTCAGGCTTCCGGTTGTGAGAAGTCTCAGGGCACATTCTTCATCCAGTTTAAAAAACGTTTGTGTGGAAAAAAATGGATCAATTTAATAGCGGTGCTAGAAATCTAGTGT